ATTCATGTTCTTCTACAGTCAACATTTTATAGTTGAAGAATACCTTTTCCAAAGCACTCAGAAGCTCGCTGTATAAAAGATACGCAGCTCAACGACCTGGTTCTTAACAAGCTCAATTCCCACAAACACAAATGGGAGATTTGCCTGAATAATCCTTTATCACTTCCACAAGTCTCACAAACACGAGCAGGCAGCACTTCCATTCTGGTACCAACAGACCTGATGTCGAGGGCGTCCAACAATGGATGGAAACACGGCTCTTGGAGCATCATCTCCTGCAAATCCAGCTTTGCAAAGACCAGACCCATTGTCACAAACAAGGGCAGTGGTTTCATCATCATCACACATAGTGCCTCAGTTTGGGCTGTAAAACAGTAATTTGAAAGAGTTTGGGGGAGTAGATGGAAGGGAATGGGACAGAAACATTTCTCCACCTTTAAGATAGCATATTGCTGTAAAGAAAAATTATTTTAGAAAATAACAAAACTAAATATCAAAAAACTATGCTAAAGCCTCAGTTCTGGAAAACTAAGTATCTGTATAAATTTTGGCTTGAATGAATTTTTAGTGAACCGAGTTAGCAAGGACATTCAGCTTCCATTTCCAAAAGGGAAATCTCCGACATCCATGTCATACTCCATTAGTTGACTTGGTGATCACAGGACGGGCTCAACTAATGGATACACATTCAGCTCTACATGGACTTCAGCAAGCTTAACTCAATCTCTTCCAATGCTAAATTACCTTCCAGAAATTACATTTGTTAAAAGTGAATTAATCATATGCACCCACCAGTTATAACATTAGTGCTTAAGTGGTAAATAGGATCTCCTGAACATTAACTCTTTCAAATGCTGCTTTTGTTCCCTAATGACATTTTTAATTTTGCTTTTTTCTCAGAGGGCCACCATCAATCTGAAGAAACAAATAACAACAGCCCCCACAAAAACTTTCAGGAAAGTGTTGGCTGTGTTTTTAAATGACAGCTACTCTGTAACGTTAAGTGCTGGCTAGAGGACCCATTCCATACTTGTAATGGTAAATATCTTATCAAAGCAACTATTCTGGGACATAGAACAAGCTGTGGCTAACTCAGCCAGCCAAAATCAACAAAACTGCAGCAGTTGGCCAACACATCAGACAAAGTCCTGAACTCACTGAAATCCATGGCAGAACTCCCACCGAGGGAGGGCCCGAATTTCACCAAGACTTCTCTTTTGGACTCCTTGTTTATTTTTAGGGTTGTAAGACTGCCTGTTTAGGCAGTCAAGAGAGAAGTATTGCACTTTTCCTTTTCTGGCAACTTCATTTGGTGAGGAAGAGAACTTTAAGAACAAAAAAGGAATGAACAAGAAATCAGAACTTATCCCACTAAGTCTCCATCTGCCTGATGTATGGGACTTCATGCTCTTCAGAGGGCCGCTGCAATAATACTGAAGTCCTTGGATATTTAAAATTAAGGTTTTCTCACAACAGACAATGACTATGCACTCTGCCCCTTCTGCATCAAAAAAAATAATGAAGTTCCTGGTGTTCACTCCTTCACCATGGGCTTTATGGAGTAAGACCACAACATACGATTGATCAGAACATATGATAGATCACTGCCAGATGAAATGGATGCATAATTTGAATACATGATATTGCATATATGAATACATATATAGTGTATATGATAATGCAGTATTATAAAATAATAATAATCTCTTTAATTGATGTTAATATGCACGTGACTGGAAGATTCCTTTGCTCATAAAGAAGCTGAATATTTCTAGCACATATGTTTGCAAATAGCTTTAATTTAGGTATGTTTAAACATTAGTTCCGGCAGGTGGTGTTTGTGAATCTTCACCACACTGCCACAAGCCATTACTTACTTCCAAAATCCTAATAAAAAGCCTTTGAGAATGCAATAAACTACCTTCCAGCATTATCCAGCTTTACAGAACTATATGCAGACTTTGATTCCATCAATGTGAGTCTGAATCAAAGGAACTTCAGTTCCTAAATACAATAACTACATCAGATGAAATGCTACAATTTCAAAAAAGAGAAATTAGAAGTATAGAGATTCTTCACAGCTCTGATAACATAGCATTGATCAGAGGTTCCAAAGGCTGGATACAACAAAGATGCTTAATTCCCAAGGAGAAAAAATAATATTCCCATTCACTCTCATGCACAGCATTTTATGTGCAACTGTGAATGGAAAAATAGCGTCAGTTACAACCATCCCCAGAGAAAAAAAAAATCACAGTGAAACCTTAGTTCATCTTTACAAGCTAGACTTCGGAGTGGCAGCAGTTATTCAGTTGGTACTTTTACTCAATATTGGTTAGATTCCAGACAAGTCACTGAAACTTATTAATAAAATCAATGGCTGAATTTGTTCACTTCATGCTTAAAAAAAAAAAAAGTAGTGACCTTGCTATGCTTATCATTATTTAATCATAAGGTAAATGTTAAAAGAGTACTACTTAAATACACAAAAACCTTCAATGACAGTCATGTTATTGCTTTGCAGCTGCTGGATTTATGTTTAATAAACAGAAAGCTTCCTATTTGTTTCAATTGGTTTCTGCATAATGCCTGATGTTCAGAGAACACTATTAAAGTTCTAAACTGTATAGCATGTTCTGTATTTTGTATGCATATTTAGCACGGGCCAAATAAAAGTCCTTATTGTCTATGCTGTCCTAGGATTGACAAAGGACAGGTGCCTAAACCATCTAATTACCTCAAACTCTTGAGCCATGTCTTGTGAATGCCTTCCCCACATTCATCCTTCCCTGCCCCTCAGTGAGTTGACCAAGTGTATGTAACAGTGAAATTAATTCAGCCATCCACTCTCAAGACAGCACTCCTTTTGTAAAATACAAAGCGTTTAGTCCTTCAGTACAAAATGCTGTGAGAGAACTAAATGTGATGGAATACATTCACCTTGTGCTTCATCCTGGTTTGTGTCATAGCTACTCATAACTATCTGTTCAGCTTGCACATATAGATTCTTGTAGGCTTCAGGCAAAGAAGATTCCACTGTACACCACTGATCTTTCCAGTGATGAGAGACATCTACATTTCCTTACAATCACGCAGTCAAACCTGAACTGCCTTACACTTGGAGTCCTTCTGGAATTCCTTCAATGGCTAAGGCAAAACAGGACCACACTTTGGAAATAAGCAAGTGTACACATACCCCCCAGAAGATCTCGAACCAAGTGAAAAGAAGCGTTATAATCATCAGCTGTTAACAGGTGAAACTCTCAGGGAGTGCTTACCTGGGAAATGGGGACGATCTGTAAAAGCACCTTCGTAAATGAAGTGATCTCATCTTCCATTACATTTATAACAGCTTCAGGAATGGAGTTCACAGAATATCTACATGAGTCAAGCCATGTTTGGAAACCTTTTTTTCAGTTTGTGCTTATCGCTGTGACAGCATAAAGGCCTAGATAAATTAGGGCAGGATTTCCATTACCTCTGAATCCCCTCCCACTGCTAACTTGCTGTGCCTCGTGAGAAAGGATTTTTATTTTCATTAAACCTCCCCCGTCCCCCTTCACCCCCACGAAGACAAAAGCCCTCACACCAGATGTGCAAGACAGGAAGGTTTTGTGGTCCATTGTTGTCACTGGAAAACATTCTATTTCTTTGCAACACAAATACCTAAGAATAGCTCGTTATCATTCTTGTTAGCAGCCATCCTGAAGCAGGAGAAGTCTTACCATGAACAGTTCTCACGTTTCAACTGTACTTGATGTTTGTTTGTGTGGTGCAAAGACTGAAAATAGCTGACTTATCTCAGAATTTCAGTGACACTGTGGCTTAAAACAGGGACTGAATCAGCAATAAGCCATTCAAAAGAGGTGAGTGGTAACTATTTCACAAAAAAAAAAAAAAAAAAGACATCAACTACATTGGAATATATTGGATTAATATAGGACTCCAGGCCATTAGTAGACTAAGAAATATTACAGAATCATCATAAGAAGAAAGTTTCTAGGCTTTACCATAGTTAATTAAGGCCAGTGATAATTCCCATTCCACATCACAAAAGCAAACAATGCAGAACTTCAGATACAATGTAGTAAATGTTAACCCTGCAAATGTCAACTCTCAACCAATCTCTCTTTCTCCCACCATGTGACCATGCACAGCAGAAGACAGCATGTACAAAAATCCTTGTAACACAGGCAATACACTTCATGAATACTCAAGTCAATTTTGTAAAACTGATGGAAGCCTTCAATTTTCATATTCGTTACCTTTTCCCACAATATTTTCGTCTGGTTAATAGGAAAACAAATGGTCATTTCTTTTTGTGACTTTATGTCTACTCTCTTAGACTTGGCTTATTTTGAATGCATCTCCATTTCATACATGCATGAATGGAAACACAGACAGAACAAACAATAAACAGTACCGAGAGTAAAAACAACATTCTAGCTTCTACTGGCCACAGTCTTCACAAGTAAGCTGGTTTTGGAATCAGAGAAATAGCTGTGAAGTTTCAGAGATCTTTATAACAAAATACAGAAGTATCAATATACAAGGCACAATGCTCCACTACATACCTACAGAGCTGGAGTGCAAGTCCCCTGCTTTTTATAGCCTCCCAGTTAAAAATGCAAACTCTCCTCATTTGTAATTCAAAGTATGTAAAATATGTAAGACTGTAGATTTATAAGCCTGAAGTTCATCTGTTGATCAGCTAAGTAACATTTGGCCCCAAGACATACATAAACCCATCAAGACTACAAGGAGTGGAAGTAAATTTAAACACATAAAAAGTTACAGAAATTGCACCTCTGAAACAACAATAAAGGAACATAGAATGCTTAAGACATTTCTTCATGCCAATTCCAAATCGTGACTGAAGCTTATACTTCACCTTACCACATCACCACATACAGACCTGTGTGCCCGGAAACAGCCAACTATAAAGGCTTAACATGGCCAAAGAACATTGACTTAAGCTTATTTTTGAATGAAAATAAAAGGAAATCAAAATCCAGTTCTTCTTTCTTTATTGCACTCTGTGGAACTTCCTGTTGTAGTCAAGAAGCCAATAAACAGTAATAGCTGAATATTCCTTTAAAATGTATAGTTCAACTCTTAAAATAAAATTTATTTAGAAAAGATATCATTTACAACCCATTCAGTAGTAATCATTCATTATGTACTCACAAGCAATATTAAATAACTAGTATGCAGCAGTTTCTTTATAGGGCAAATAAGGGCAATATTTTCTCCTTAGCAAATATAATACCCCACTGTTAAAGAGCAATTCAAGTCAACTTTGGGACAACTGTGATATACACAAATTTCTTACAAGAAGCTCAAGATTCATACAGTGTAACAAGAATATATACAACTGTGTCCAGTGCATAGCTTAACAGCAGCATGTGAAAAATCTATTATCTTGAATTGGCACACCATTACCGATAAGAAAATAATTTACTCAGAAAATGCAGTGTATTCAGAGAACACCAGTGAGGCACAATAAAACAATAAGATGTAGTGTAACCAGGTACGTAAGGAATAAATAGCGGGATTTTGCTCTGGAGGTCAGCAGCTTAGAACAGGTAAGACTTCGTCCTCGGAGCCATCTTCTGAAGGAAAGGGCTCCTCTTTTCACCTGGTTAGGAAACAAAGTGTTCATAAATACCTAAGAAGCAATTCCACTGTAACCTAGACTTCTCTAGCACTGTAAACCTTCTAACTCTGATGCAGCAACAGATGTCACACAATAGGATTTAAACATGATTTAAAGATAAAAGAAAACTATTAATAAAGGGGAGTCAGAATGAACATAAAGTATTTGTATATTATGTAATTACATATGCATACTAGAGACAGAAACATAATTCTATGCATATAAACTTTATTTAATGGCCTGATATGTAATAGAATTAAACTTACAGATCTCTCGCATTTTGGTTTGAACATACGTAATGTGTAATGTGGCATGTTTTACACAGCTATCTGTGTTTGACTCACCATCCACAACCAGAACAGAATAAATTACCTACTTCGCTATGTTGAATGAACCCCTCTGTAGCCTACACATCCCATGATATGTAACACAATAAAAAAAGTGCTTCAATCAGCTTTTCAGATTAATGGCAGATTAAACAAGTAGCTGCTTCGTGCCAGCATTTACATACAAAGAGGATAATCTACAGTCAGCAATTCCCAGAAACTCACAAGGGAAATCTGCACTTAAAGAATGAATGAAAAAGAGAGGTAAAGCAGAGAAAGACCAGAGAAAGGAAGAGTAGCATGAAAAAAAATACTGAACCATGATGCCTTCAGTCCTATCTGCAATTAACAATATACCACATGTGTACATCACTTAAGCAGCTTATAGTCTGGGCTTTTTAAAAGCTTTTAATTTACTTACCTTTCTTACAGTAACATGTTCACTAGGATTGATGATTAAGGCTTCCCTTTCATCCTCAGTTTCCATCCGAACAGTGTATTCGCTAGGTACAGACCTGTAACTACTGACTTCAAATCTAGAGGACAGTTAAAGGAAGACCATGAATACTGAATTACCCACTCTTCCAAAATACCAAATTCACATTAAAAAAAAAACAACAACAACAACAAAAAACATTTTATACATTTAAATTACTGCAAGGAGCTCCCCATAAAAAGCAATAAGACTTAGAGACTGATGACAACATAAGCTACTTGCAAACTACTCTCAAGGTGTTATTTATTCTGAATAATCCTCATCATTGCTAGCTGGTTAAATAGTAATTTTCAAATTGTGGCAGTAATGAAGACTTTAATTGGGCAGATGACTTGTGATATTTTAAATCTAAACCATGACTGTACTAAAGTTGCAGCATTTAGATGTCTTCTAACTTGGCAAAAATAACACTGAGTCATCAGAAGCAAGAGATTAAATTAAAAATAAAAACAATAAAAATCAAAGGCCCTTAACATTTTCTTGATCCACAGAGTTAGAACTAGCTTTTTAACAGTCACACATGCATTTTTTCATCGCTTCAGGTTCTACACTTAAAGTTTCTATTCCATTATCAAAAATCTAACATCAACAGGAAAAATCATCACTAAAAATAAAAGGCAAACAAACAAAAAATCTGACAGTTTTTCAGTTCTGTAGTACACTTTACATTTACTCTAGACTACTGTAAATGAAAACCTCAGGATGAACCTATTCAAAAAGAAGCTGAGCCACAAGAGGAAGCAGAAGAGGAAGGAGGCTTAAGCTCTCTGAATATGCAGGTTTTTTCATACTCGCATAAGGCTTTAATATAACAATCCATCATATGCCTACAAAAGAAAAAAACCAAAATGTTTCACAGTACAGTACAGTTCACCTGTTACTTAGCTCTTCGGAGAGTCCAAGAGCTTCTTCTGCAGCTTCTCTCCTTCTCTTTTCTTCTGCTAGTGTTTGTGTCAGCTGTGAGAGAGCCTGCTGCACTGAATCATATTGTTGCTCAGTGTCTGCAAGCCTATAAATAAAATGAAATAAATATTTTTATGTACTGAAATAGTCAATTTGTTGTTTTTTTTGTTTTTTTTTTTTTTTAGGAATGTTCTGTTTGGGGATAAGGACTCAACTATAATGAGACTCTTTAGATTAGATTTGGAGATATTGAAATACAGCCAAATAATATTGTAAGAGTATGATTGACACATTTAATGTACTGTAAATCCACATCTTTCCCTTTTCCCCAAAGAGAGAAAAGCATTACTTATGCACTTGCAATACAGCTGTTAGAAAAACAATATTGCTAATATACACTCTTCAGTTCTGACCTTTTTCTGAGTTCATTTAGTTCCATATTGTCTATTTCAACAATAACTGCAGATCTTTCCTGTGGTGCTCCAGGGGGAACTTCTGCTCTAGTTTCATCCTATTAAAAGGGGAAAAAGCTATAGTCACAATTTTTTCTAGTCGTAAAAAAATCTTTATTAAGTTAAAGAAGCAACACACAACAGGGGAACAAAACTCTCTGGTGTCATTCAATCATTAAATTTCCAAAACCACAATTTTATAAAGCTAAGTCTTCTAAGTAAAAAATGACAACTGTCTCTGTGTACTGCTGGACTTGGAGGATACATGTATGCTGCACAACACAGCAATCTAAGCTATGTCTGGAATGCAAGAAATACATCTACAAACGCACACAGTAGCATAACATTCTGACCACAGTTTCATTAACAGCATAGCTATTCCTCTATCAGAATCTGAGACAAAATATCTGTGTGGTAGCATATCAAGCCATACAGACAAGCCAGTTCAAACAGAGGCAGCAGAAAAGTTCTACACAGTATTGTATTCTTTTTCTCACATTTGTGGACTCTAGGCAAGAACACCCCATTATATTTTGTCCCCTTATGATAACACCTGAATATTTGGATTAGTTACTTAGCTCTAACTTCACAGTTTGTTGCTATGGTGTAACACAAACAGCAGAACAGAAATACTTGTATATTCAATAAGATGCAGTGATGCACAAGTTGGGATCACCACCTGGACTGGCACTGAATAAATGCTTGGGAGTAGATGGCTATGTGTACTTGCAGAACAGGTGACAATGCGAGACTGAATAAAGTAGGTATCCCTTTTATTTTCTCCCAGATAGACTATGACTAACATAAAGCAATGTTTAAATTCAGAGCTTTCAGAAGCACCGAATACTGCACTTAAGCAGCCTCGTGCTTTGTAACTAACATGTGAAGGAAACAGAACCTGAATCCTCTCTAAGAAGTGGAGGTTTAATTTATTTTCAGTGTACAGTTCTCCCTGGTATTTTTGTTTCTAGAGAGGTTTTATAAATGAATCCACATAATATTTTAGGGTTTTCCATTAATCAGTCATTACTTACTGTGTCATTACAATACATTACATTACTTACAGGCAGCAGAAGAAAACATTTTAGAAATGAAGGGATCACAAAGAAATAAGCTTACATGTGTACAATTTGTAAGGGGTACTGAGATGCTGAACTGATTAAATAGATCTGATTTCCCAAAATATTACAAATAACTTCGCAAAATGGTTTGTGACTGCTGTGAAATTATCACTAAATCTTGCTAATCCATTGATCGGTGATCATCCAATTATCCTGCCAGTTGTGGCCAATTCAAAAACGATACTTCAAAATGAAAATAGCATCTGTAAAGAGCTTCCTGAAAAATCTAATAAAAAACCCAGCTTTCATTGAAGATCGTTATCTTCAACGTATCATAGACTACTGTATCAGCAAAACAATTAAAAAACAGTAAGTAAATGCTTTTTAAGTATTTATGTTTGTTAAGCACAAAAGCCAGCAAAAGCACGAGTACAGAAAGAGCCCTAAGAATTTTCTCTATGTTCATTTACCTGAATGGTGCCCTGAAAGGATGTCACCTGCATTGTTTGATATTCCCTCTCCAGTCTTAAATAACGATTCTGCAAATCAGTGTAACGAAGCTGGTTATCCCTTAGAGTCTGAGATAGAGTTTTCAGCTGAGCGGACAACACAGCATTCTCTTCTGATGACTGCAGATTCTGAAAGAAATTATTTAAATTATTCAAAAAACACAATAAAGCAAAACACAAAAACTATCTCATCCAGGAAATTACTAGACATGAGATCTGTTGTTGAAAGTTTGAAAGTAACTGCATGCTATCTTCAGTATTGCATGCACTTTTTGGCAAGGTCAGCCTAGTAAGATTTAACTAGTTGTTTTATGAGAAGTAGAAGTAACAAAATCTGAGTATTGTCCCTGAATCAATAAGCTCAAAACAGTAATTCCAGGAATACAGATGTTCATCAGGAAGTTGAGGTATGTAAAAGCAGTCAACTTATAATATTCTCAATAACAAAACAGCAATACGGGTCTTCACCCTTTCCCAAACATTCACCATCACCTGTAGATTGAGATTTCTATGACAGTTTCAAAATTTGGTTGAAATTGTTATTAGATTCATAAAATGTTCAGGTGAAGCAGTAAAAACAGACACAATTACAGATGAAATGCAATAAATCTAATCTGTTCTGAATACCAAGACACACAAAGCAGGATAAGTGTTTAGTGAATTTCCAAAAACATTTCCAAACTTCTGCAAGCAAAACTCAGTACATCCACACGCAAATCCAGTGAGGGGTTCATAAAGACACTACGAGGAAACATTTTTGAGGTATTTTACATTTGGTATGAGAAAACTAAAATTCAGTTCCAGCTAAGACAGCCATCTTTTTCTGTCTAATGAAAAATACTTTAATTTGAGTTCAAGTTGAGCAATGCTTTATCAATCTCCTCAGAATTCAAATTCAAATAAACATATCTTGGTCAAATAAGTAGCCAGGAAGGCAACAGCATAAATGTAATACTGAGTTTACATTGCAATTTCTAGTCTGAGCCAAATGGAATGTTTTGAAGAATTCTAAGTTATGAAGCGAAGTTTCAATCATAAAGATACCACCAGTTTAGCCATATTTCTATGCTTTTAACAGCTCAGATTCACACTGACTATTTAGGATAACAGTTGTTGCTTTAAGTTACCTTTGAATTAATCTGATGTAAATGCAGATCCTTCTGGTGCATCTCCTGAAGACAGCGCTGTAGCTCACTTTGAAGCTGATTTCTTTCAGCCAAAACATGTTTGACTTCCTCAGGGGTGTCTGCACCTCCAGCAAGGGAGGCAGTTTCTAAAACCTTTAGAAATATCAGCATATTCAGGTTAAATGGTAAAGGAATATTATAAATAATTGAACATTAAATATACATATGGACTACACAATGATTTCCTTTAAACAGGATAATTTCTTTCTTTTAAGTTAATTCTACATGTGGAAGAAACTTTATTAACATAAAAATCCACTACTAAATGTTTTCAATCTACAAAACTTCATAGAAAAAAAAATTGCAAACAGTGTGAAGCACGAAAGTAGAAAAACAGTAAAGGCAGATGAATTTAAAATACCTTTTAAAAATCTAGTGTCTAATTAATAATGGTATTCATAAGAGGGTGAATGCAGCTGTTTTTTAAATATGAATTTAAAGTTGAAAGCCCAATTCACAAAAAGAATTCAACTTTATCACTAATAAAAAAGGGCAAGGTTGTGAATATGGCAGGACAATGCTATGATCTCTAACAATGAAGGAAAGTGAGCCACCTTCAATGGTTTCTGGAATCTATTTTCCCATTAAATCGTGAAATAAAGACTTTTATCACATTAGGTACTTCATAACCCAGCAGACACTGCAGTTCAACAGCCCTTGTCATCTTGAGCACACAAAAAAATGAATAGTATATGACAGCTATAAATTTTACCAGCCAAAACATTGTTTTTAGAGAAATTAATGGAAGATGCCTTACCTCTACTTCCTTTGGTACAGAAAAAGCAAATGAAAATATTATTTCAATATAACACTTTCCTTGAACCTTTAATGATAATCTATAAAAGCAGACAAAACTGGGTCTCAGCTGCTGTCTTTCTAAATTCGGTATTTTGTTCCTGGCAGAAACCAACTCCAGCTGCTTCAGGGAAAGGACAACAGTGCTTCCATTAGGCATCTCTCTCCCTTCTCCCCACAGTTAGGTTCTATTCTCATCGACAAATAATTAAGAGATTGATTTAGGCTCTTATGAATTTGCTAGCATCAAGTATACACGTTCTGAAAGCTGTTGTTATCAATGTAAATTACCAATTTCTTTTTTGATTCTGTTAATAACATGTACCTGGAAAGAGATTATAGAAATCATATACCTAAAAAATATTCACATTACCTGAAAGAGCACATAACTTTACTAGTTGTGCATATCTCTTTATCTTAGATTCACAAGAAGTTAAAGATTCTCAGTTCATATGCACACATCCTACAGTAGAACTAGACTTTTTCTCTCTTTAATTTCTTCTTTAACATGGACAAACCTCAATCTTTTCTGAATTTTCTTATTTTCTGTATCATGTTTTCATTCTTTCAAAACATTTTTACTGCAATGCTTCTGAGAATCTGAGGTGAAGTGTACTGTAACAGGCTTTGTGCCACTTTATCCACCATTTATTCAACAACCAAAAAACTTATTTGATTAATGCTGTTTTTCTTAAAGTAAAATACAAGCAAGTAATCCTGCTTGTCCATTTGTATCAATAATACTAACATCAGTTAGACAAATTTAAAATTGGATTTTAAAAAATTTAAGATGTTCATGTCTCAAAAGAAGTTATGATACTTCTGTATTTAGTGATTATATATATACATACAGATTATTATAATTGCTGGCTCAGGAAGACATAGTATACATGATATTTTAAGCTGAGAGAAAAAGAACTAAGTATAGCCTGTACCACAGGCTGCCTGGCAGCTAATTAAGTCTAAGAGCATGCAAGGACTCAGTAACTGATAAACACATTGTTGGCACCCTACAAATAATCGTACAGCATTCTACTTCTCTTTTGAATGTGTGTCATAGGAACAAGTAGCAACACTGGTTTTATAATAGTGCGAACTGCAAATTACTCATGATAGGCAGAAAATTGGCACAAGAATTATAGACCCAAAGTTATTTTCCACCTAACAACATAACACATTTTACCTCAGCTACTATGTAAGAATTCCTCTGAGAGTTGTCTGAAAGCTCCACCCCTCTTAACTGGATAAAACTATGTGAGGAAGCTATAAATTGCATTGCTCTTTTTTTTTTCTCCTTTCACAGAATCACAGAAGGGACCTCAACAAGGATCATGAATCTCCGACCCCGCTGCCACACACAGGGCCACCAACCTCCCGATTTTATACTAAACCAGGCTGCCCAGGGCCCCATCCAACCTGGCCTTGAGCATCTCCAGGGATGGGGCATCCACAACCTGTTCCAGCACCTCACCACTCTCTCTGTAAAGAGTTTCCACCTGATGTCCAACCTAAACCTTCCCTCCCTCAACTTAAAACCATTTCCCCTTGTCCTGCAGTTATCTACCCTTTCAAAGAGTTGATTCCCCTCCTGCTTGTAGGCTCCCTTTAGGTATTGAAAGGCTGCAATGAGGTCACCCCACAGCCTTCTTTTCTCTAGGCTGAACCAGCCCAGCTCCCTCAGTCTGTCCTCACAGAGGAGGTGCTCCAGTCCCCTGATCATCTTCGTGG